ATACTGACACGTTACGCAGATATTCTGATTAGCACACCCCTTCGCCTTGTCCACGCTATCAAGCAGAAAGATATCGATCTGCACAAGTACTGTCTCACTTTGTTATAATAATGAATATGGATTGACATTCTATTACATGTGAATCTAACTTCATTGTAATATTAATGCCATTTATTAGTGTTAAACATTTGGTTCTTGATGAAGCAGATAGGCTTCTCGAAATGGGTTTCCTAGAGCAGACAGATGAAATTTTTCATGCATGCTCAAATCCAAAACTACAGACATATCTCTTTAGTGCGACATTACCGTCCGGTGTGGAGACTTTAGCAAACACTATTATGAAAGATCCTATTAAAGTCGTGATAGGAATCAAGTGAGATCTACGATATTTAGATTATTATATTTTTCCACACATAACATATGAATACTTATTAATTATCATCATCAAGAAACGCAGCAACAGATACGGTCAACCAAGAGCTTGTCTACGTCGGCCAAGAAGAAGGGAAACTCATAGCAATAAGACAGTTGGTCCAGCAAGGACTTAAGCCTCCGGTGTTGATATTTGTACAATCCATTGAGAGAGCAAAAGAATTATTTCACGAATTGATTTATGACGGGATAAACGTGGATGTTATACACTCGGAACGAACAAAAGCTCAAGTAAGAAGAATGTATAGCACAAATGAAACGTTGTGACTTTCATTAACGTAGCAAACACGTTTTTAAATTATAGCGTGATGCAATAATACAATCGTTTATGCAAGCCAAAATATGGATTTTAATAGCCACGGAACTCATGGCGCGTGGAATGGATTTCAAGGGCATCAACCTTGTTATTAATTATGACTTTCCGCAGACAGTTCAAAGTTACATTCATCGTATCGGTCGAACAGGACGTGCTGGAAGGCCTGGCGCGGCAATCACTTATTTTACAAAGGAAGATGCGCCGTATCTCAAGAGGTAAGAATAGATATGCAAAAGTTTACGATGTTTATAGTAATTAACCGAACTATCCCTAGTATCGTTAACGTGATAAAAGAATCGGGTTGCCAAGTGCCTGACTGGATGTTACAATTAAAGAATCCGTCGCAAGAATCCAAAAAGAAGTTACGGAGGAAGCCGATTGAACGCAAGCGCATAAATACAAGATCAAAATACGATCTGGCCAAGATAAAACACAAAAGGTAACGTTGTAATATCGGAGCTTCAATTGTAGTGATCGATACTAATCAAATACAAATTCTAGGGAACTCGTCGAAGCGTCAAAGAAAAGGAAATTGCAACAGGAAAAATAAAAACCTATTCTTTGATATATTTATATGTAAAGGGAGAAATTATTCTTTTCTCTCGATAAACGCCTTGCGATTTCACTAATAATAAAGAGGCCGAGACACCATCAAGAAAGATAAGACATCGTGAGATATCAAATGAACTCTGAAAAAAAAAATTGGGGACCAAAACCACGCGCTGGTCAAAGGAAACGCAAAATGTGTAATCAGCATGTTTAGTCATAGCTGTACACTCGGAAGATGCTTGTTGTCAACATTCTTCCTATAGTAATAACTGCAGGCTTGACATCATGAACAGAACATAACGACAATTGGGAGCAGGAGTTTAGTCAGATAGAGTAGATGGAAACATTTCTTATGCTAATTTCCGTTGGTACATTCAAAATGTGGAGACCGTTTTGAGGATTTGACAAATTATAACTAGTGAATACAACCAATGTCCAGAGTCTCATCACAATTCAAAGCGCTCCAAGTTACTTAGCAAATTATAAATTTATTACAACCTTTTTTTTTTCTCCTTTCGTCTCATTATGCCTACCGAATAAGTTATGCATCACAAGAATTTTTCTAGATTAAACTCTAACGCGGAACATGGATACAACAAGTCGTAGCTCTCTAAAACCTTAGGGTGGAGAATACCAAACTCTCCTATTTTCTCCGTAGTTGTTTTGGAACGTAGGAAGATTTGAGCACTACGGTTAGGGAAGAAGGTTGGATCTATA